AAAGTTAGTGAAAGCTTACGATATGCTTTTCTGATGTCTGCAGATGAAGCATCCTGGAGGTGGTAGGGGGAGGGGGAAAATACAAAGCAAACTTTGTCAGAAAAAGAAATTCCCAGAACCTTGTTAAGATCTGAGAAGACAGCCAACCAAGTGCAGGACCCCAGGCAATGTAATTTGAGCAATCAGTCTAACAACCCGGCTATGCAACTAGCCTGACCCACATGACTGAACAATTATTCAATCTAATTTGGCTCTCGTCTTAACCTTTCATTACCATACAGCCATTTAAAGAAGACAGTATTTGGCAAAACTTTTCAAACACTTGCCTTCTTAAAATTAACCAATAAATCTTTTTCAGTAATTAAGAGATCAAAAAGAAACAAATTAAAAATTAATACATCTGCGTGCCTTCAAAGAAGCTCTTTATTTATTTGAGAATCTGAAAGCCAATTTCTGAGTCCCAGACTAACCATATGTGGTTTCTTTATTGTTATTTATATTGAATTTATCATCTAGCAACAACCTATGGAGTCTCAATTTCACATGCCAAAAAGTATGCCTATTTGAAGGCAGTTAGAATTGCATTTATCCAAAATAATTGTGATTAGAAATAGTTATGTATATTGCACTTAACATTTATTTAGTATTTAAAGTGTTTTCAATGCTGTCCAGTTTCCTCAGGCTGGTTTGTAGAAATAAATTTGCCCAACATCTATGTATTACTAATAGAGTTTAAATATATTTAAAAGGTCACTATGGTTCAGTACTTCAGATTAAGTGGATGTTAAAATTACATTTTATGTAATCTTGTGTGCACAGAACATCATTCTGCATGGCCAGTATAAAATGCATGACAATAACAAAGAGCACACCATCCAGCTGGGGTTTAAAACTTGGTCTCCACTGAGTTTAAAAGATATTCCAATAACATATTCACATTGGGGCAAACTATAGTAAAATTGCTATTATTCTATTAAATGTTGTCTCTTGTTTGATAGCTATTTATCCAATTAATTCCTAAAACTATTTTACTAAAAAGTTCCAATAACGAAAAAACCAAACCAACAAAAAAAATCTATATACTTGGGACTAAATAGTTGTTAAAGAAATAGAGTTGAAAAGAGACAAAGTGAGACTATAATTAATTAGTCTGTCAATTTTTCCTTAATAAACCATTATTTTCATTACCAGTTTTCTGGGGCTTGTTGCTCCAGGCTAGTATGCTACCCTAGGTTTGAATATTTTGTGATTTGTGGAGGGCTGAGGAGCTATAAAATTGGCAAAGTAAGTATTGCAGGTATATTAATAATATGGTTGCAATTTTCATTCTAATTTGCTTAATGAAATTGACATGTTCCCTATATTAGAGGATAGGTAATGTGGTAGAAAAGGATGATTATTTAATGAAAATCTGTGATGAAACCTTTTGTTGAGCAAAGAGGTCAAGTGTCAAATGAATAACTATTCTCTAATTGGGATTTTAATTTTAGATTTTATTAAATTGGCACTGTAATCATAAAGAAAATTATTCCAAAAGTAGATTTCTTAGAAAATAAGAGTATATGTATTTTCTTCCATTACAAAATTAGTACATGCTCATTATGGAACATCTATGACTTCCTTAAAAATAAAAATGACTAATAGTCACCTAAAGCATTTCCCTGCTTCCTTTCTTGTCATTCTGACACCAATCCTCCATTTCTCTGCCGCAGTGGGTACCGCAAATGCAAATGGGGCCAGACGGTTCTCCTATTTCAAACCCTTCAGCAGCTCCCGAGTGCCTATGTTTTCCAATCTTCTTAGCCTTGTCTCTCATCATCTTGGCTTATCCTCCTGGTCCCCCAGATCATCTTCCTGCGTCCCCAACCTTGGGATGCATCTCACCAACTTCATATTGTTGTTTTTCACCCAGCTACAGATATAGACATTTCTCTTCTGACCCAGAAACGAGTTTCTCAGGCTACACACAAACAGTGCCTGACTATTTCCCTCTTGAGGATCCACCCAGTAGAGTTATTTCACCAATAAGCTCTACCCTAAGTGGAGACAGCTGAAAAACAAAGCCATTTTCCTATCTACAAAGACATGCTCTAGGCAAGTTGTACTTCAAAGTAGCTTATACATTTCTTTCATTTTAGTTACTCAATAAATCTAACTTATTTTATCGTCATAACAAACCTATGATGTGTATACAGATATTATCAGGTCTATTTTACTGAAGAGGTAAGTCAGGCAGAGAAAGGTTAAGTAACTTCCTGAAGTTTGTACTGCTGGCACACAGATGAAAACATAATTCAAACCCAGAAAACGCTGCTTCAGAATCAGAAATCTTCATGTTGACTGCTTAGATTTAGGCTGAGTAACTTCACAAGAAGATACAGCTCAGGGAAGGCAGTGACAACAGCTGCTACATTCTTGCTGATCTGATCAACTATAGGGAACGTGTCCCCAGAACTGCAATGTGAACATGCTCCACTGGAGTTTTAAAGGTAAAGACTCTGACATATGTTGGCTTCTCTAACACATTTTACACCACATTTCTATTACAGGCCTGAATGTTAGAACATTCATCTCCCATATTCAGCCAATTAGACCTTTTCTCTCTCTGGCTTGTAGAGAAAAATTTTTGATAGCATTATGGGTGAATTGGCCATCTTTAATACTTTTGGTATGAGATCTACTGGATTCATCTGCCAGGATTCTTTCTCTTCTAAATGTGATATGGTTTTTTGGCAAGCTAAACATGAATTATCTTAGCACTCGGATGACCTCTATAAAGAGACACATAGTCACTCTTTAAAAGAAAATCCCAAAAAACTGAAAGCAATAGACGCTCATCGAAACTGAAACAATGTGGTAGCACATCAGAGAAAACAGCAGAGTAGGGAACTAAAAGAGTCTGTCTCTCCACAGAAACAGTGAATAAACTGGCAAAAACTGTCAAGAATCCACTTTATCTGAACTCTGAAAACCAGTCAAAATTTACAGCACTCAGGCAAACACTTAAGAAAAAGACAGGCGATTTTCACTAAGGGTCCTGAAGATGCCAACCTAAGTTCTTGGTGTGGGTTCCTAATGCCAGAGGGAGCAGAGCTGACCCTGTGCTCGAAGAACTGTGGTTGTTTATTTTGACCTGTCTGTTGGCCCCCTGACACACTGTGCAAAGGGCTTGCCTTTATTTTGCCAAACTCAGAACTCTACCAGGGCAGAGAGAGCATTTGTCGAAAACACTTAAAGGTAAATTTATTAGCTGGTACTGAATGGGGCAAGGGATTGCAATTGGGGCAAACAATGAATACATCAAAAAGCCTGAGAAGTGAGGAAAGACTGGGGAGTGAGGAAAGACTGGGGAGTGAGCAGCTCTGTGGGAATAACGGCTTTGCAAAGCTCCCACATATTGCTTGGAAACTAGAAGGCCATACCTTCTAATTTTCAGAGCACATGCTCAGAAAGACCTGAGAAGGCCCTAAGTTCTCACCTCTGGCTGATCTTCAGGCTCTGCACAAGAAAAAACTGAAGGCTAAGAAAGAGCTGTAAACTGCCCAGAAGGCGGCATGCCCCATCATATACAGAGAACCCACTGGGAGATACGTATGGACAGTCACGCACCTCACGGCAACATTGCCATTATGATGGACCACATATACTACAGTGACCCCGTAAGATTATAATGGAGCTGAAAAACTCCTATCACCTAGTGACATCTTAGCCATCCTAATGTCATAGCACAACGCATTACTCACTTGTTTGTGGTGATACTGGTGTAAACAAACCTACTGTGATGCTAGTCGTATAAAAGTATGGCAC